TTTTTGGAGGTGTGCTGTCTGTTTGGCTTGCCCTGGCTTGTCTTCGGCAATGCGATTTTCGCAAAGTGTCGTTGGAAGAGCGAGCTATGGGAGGCTTGGCTGGTGATTTGGACGCCGGATACTGTCGTGGTGGGTAGAGAAAAGCTTGATAGTCGTAAAACAGAAAGGGCGGTTAGGTGGGTGCTGCATGTGTAGGCGTCACTGAGAACTAACTCGGCGAGGAACTTCCAAATATGCGTCCTAGGATATTTCCGCAGCTACATCCAGGGCTTACGCTTGTAGCCAGGTAGGGAGTGATCCATAGAGACTGCCTAAACCTTCTCGTAAGGGTAGCAAGGTATTGCGATAGTGTTGTTGTGTATTATCTACTACTCTAGATCGCTTCAGTTCGAAAACCCAAGGGCTCTAAAAGACGAGGCGTTGAAGTTCCTACTTTCTATCTCCTTAGACGGTAGATATCTCTTCAGTGAGAGACGCTACAGTGCCGTTTACTTTGTATACTGCGCTTCTGGATTTGTGTCAAATAGACTCATATGGACAGAACAAAAATGGTCTGTCAGGCATGGTGTTAGGGAAGCTTGGAATTGATATAGCTTCCCATGATATCGGAGGTTCGGGCTCTGCTCTGCTCTCCTCCAAGTATCCTAGCAGCATTCAGGACCCGTTCTCCCGACAAAAAATACAAACCTTTTACCACGTATTTGTTCATTAATCGGAATCCAGTACAGCCAAACAGGTGAGATCATATGCTCTATCAAGGTCTCGCACCGTGCATCAAGACGGATTTACCTCAGATGCCTGTGTGTATGTACAGCGCTCGAGCCCTACCAATTCCAAATACCCAAACACTTGATACCAGGATGGCCGCGACTCACCACAGCAGATATATAGTATATCTCACCACGACACGCGCGCAAGGACCAAACATGGCGTCGCTACATTCCTTCGACTCCTGCGCGCCCAAACACCTGACATCAGGGCACGTCTCCCCAGACAAAACAAGCAAGCAGAACCGGACCCGATCCAAAGCAAGGAAGACCGTCTGAGGCGGAGCAGCAGCCGCGCGCCCTCAGTGACGCACGCACGCCCGCCCGCCTGCCTCCTGATCCAAACCAGAGAGAGCCAGCCGTCTGCGCAGCAGCAGCAGCAGCAGCAGCAGCAGCAGAAAAAGGGGCACCGACCTCGACCATCAATCACACACAGCACGAAGTGTCCGCGTACGTACGCTCCCCGCGCATCTTCATGCATCCTGCTGCAGCGCGGAGAAGATCTCGTATCAGCAGCACGAAGCCGCCGATGCGCGCGCACCGGCCTGGCCTCTGTTTCGGGAAGCAGCCCGCCACCGCCGCCGCCGACGACGACGACGCGCGCGCAAGGCGGCGTGTGTGAGATTTACACCCCACGGACACTGGCGATGTCATTCCCGTGCCGGATAGATAGGTACCTAGGTAGAGGACCTTAAGCCACGCCGAAGACCTCAGCCGCGCAGTCCGTCGTCACTCCTTGCTCCGGGCGTACGACAGGCGCGCAAGCAGGCAAGCAAGCAAGCAAAACGAACTCGTCGAGCTACATCCGTACGGGGTCGTGAAAACCAGGCGCGCCGTGCCGTGGTGTGAAAGCGTGAAAGGTGCAAAAGTCAAAACGCGAGTCCAGGCAGCCAGACCCCGGCACCCACGTTCCAACGGGCGCCGATCTCAATCGCCCGCCCTTGCGCCCGCGTGCGTGAGCGCATCCTTTTCGCCTACGCCTCGAGTCAGGCCGTGCATGGGCATGGGTGGTGCATGCTCCCGTCGACGACGTCAACCTTCATGCGCGGCGGCGCATAAAGGCAATTTGATGGGTACGAGCGAAACAATCAACCGTGTTTGGCACTTGGTGCGAAAAGTGACGGAGCCGGCCATCCACGGTATCAGCTTCAGCTGCGGATGTAAGTAAAATTGCAGCGATGCAGGGCGCGACTCACAAGTCACACACCATTCACCGCAGCTAGCAGCTAACCAGTTGCAAGCCTGCTCTCCGTCGAGGCCAAATCAATACAATCGCCAACAGGCAACAGGTCAAATCAATACAATGAATGCAACTCAGCTTAACTCTTCCTAGCGGTAGTCAACTAGCGATAATGAGCTAGCGAGCATTGAAAACAAGGGTACTCGTGCAATAGCTCGTCCGCCATCCCGGCCCCCCGGGAGATGATGGACCCTGGCGCGGCGACGGCGCAAGCACCCCAACCGGGCTAAAAGTAAACACAGCGTTGATGTCATTGCCGGCTTAGGAGCCTGCCACGCGTGGGCAGCGTGACTCGGCCGGCGCGGGGGACGCGGAAGGAGCGGGCGTGCTGCGTAGCGCGTTTGATTAGACGGGCGTGATGGGCATGGGCAGGCTCTGGTACAATAGTGGTGGTGATCGCGCTGGTGGTGATACGCGTGTGATGATGATGCGCGCGCGCTGATGCCTGTTTCGTGTGTGTGTGTGTGTGTGTGTGTGTGTGTGTGTGTGTCTTGCCTCGACATCACAGACAAACACAGAGAGACGGAGAGAGAAAGAGAATGAGAGCACAAGAAGACGAAGCAAGCAAACCACCATGATTAATTTCCCTCCCCGTCACCAATCCTTCCCGCGAAGCCCGCGCAGCCAAAGCCGTTGCCCTGAATCACAAAAAGTACCTCTGATGATGATGATGATGATGATGATGCCATTGGCACCCGCAGATGCCTGTTTTCAGGTTTCCACCTATGCCCCGAGCCGCCGCTTTTGGAAGCCCTCCTCCGCCGCCGCCGGCCCCCTAGGGGAACCGGGTACTCAGGCATTCAATCAGTCAGTCACCCAGCAGGGAAAAAAAAAAAAAAAAAAAAAAAGTTACTTCATAAAACCCGCGCGCTCGCTCGTTTCGCGCGCGTTGGTCAACCTGCCTTACTGCCACCAACCTCATCCCTCTCTTTCCTCCCTCTCTCCCATTCACTATACCACTACGACCTACTACCGCACCACGCACCACCAACCTCATCCCTCTCTTTCCTCCCTCTCTCCCATTCACTATACCACTACGACCTACTACCGCACCACGCACCACCAACCACACGCACTCCCTCGCCACCCAGGCAACCCAGCTCGCGCAACAAGGCACCCCGCGCCCGCGTCAGCGGCACCTCGCCTTGAGCACGCGCGCTGGACCCTGACGCCGCTAGAGTACCTGCAGCACCACCCGCTTGTCCGCACAGCGCAGCGCGCACAGCGGGCGCCACTCCCGCCTCACGCACGCGTGTGGTGGTGTGGCTGCCGGCGTTCCAAAGCACCTGCGCTACTCGTGCCCTGAGAGAAAAGCATGGCCGAACGAACGGATAAAATGCACGGCACGGCACGGCACGGCACGGCACGGCACGCCCAAAGCTCTCTCTCTCTCTCTCTCTCTCTCTCTCTCTCTCTCTCTGGGCCGTGGGGGGTGGTGGGTGGTGGGTGGCCGGCCGTAGGAGTAGCGGCGTCATCATCATCATCCCAGCAACCAGCTTTAATCGGAAATCAGGGTCCTCCTCCGTGGCTTAATTTCCCGCCATGAAATGCTAGTACAGTAGGTACCTAAGGTATGGACCCTCGCTCGCCCCAACCCAATCCAACCTGAGCCCCGGACTGCTGAACCATTCTTTTTTCTTTTTCTTTTTCTTTCCTTTTCTACTATTTTCTTTTCTTTCGTCTTCATGTGCCTGCTTGGCACGTGGCAGGCATATGGTTCCTTGTTTTTTTTTTTTTTTTTTGTTTTCTTCTTTTTTCTTGTTCGTCTTTCCTTCCTTTATTCCTTCCTTTGTCCGTATTCTAGACCCCGAGCCCAGCGTCTTGGGTGGGCTGGCTACCCAGAAAGGCGGTTGGGTTGGGTGGAGGTGATGACCACATGCTCGCCTCTCTGGCCAAGGCATGCTTATTTGCTTGCTTGAAAGCTTGCCAACCTCACCCACCCACCCATCCATCCAGGCAGCCAGCCAGCCACTAGGCTAAGCAGCCACCCACCCACCACCCAACCCTCCACCCAACCACCGCCCAGCCCCTCCCAAACCACAAAACGACCCCGTCACGCGGCAAGCCACAGACCGAGACTAAAACATGGCGTCACCACAAACCTCACTCACAAAACTGACGCACAAACAAAAAAGGTTGCCTCCAGGTCCTGAACCATTAATCCGCCATGTCCCCCCGCATATACCATACATACACACATAGCTGCTAACTCCCGTCCCTTTGCTCCCTCCTCCCAATCCACCAACTCCAGAGAATCCCTCAGGGGATAAAAAAAGATACCAAGCATCAACAAGCAGAGAAAAAGTCCGAATGAGCCTGCAGCAAGATGCAAAACAAAAAACAAAAAAAGGAGGGGGGATAAACCCCTAGAAAAATGAAAACCCAGCAGAGCAGCAGGTCTGTACAGCGTATACGAACAGACGTGTTTCCTAACCGTAAACTCCACCAAGAGCAGCGAAAGACTTTCTTCTCTTTTGAAAAAATCATGCGAAAGAGTAGAGACATGGATAGAGAATCGAAAGAGCCAGGAACAAATACTCCTTCGAGCCAGCGCTGGCCGAGCTGACGCATCGAGAGAATTGCCCAACAACTCTACTTCCCTCCAACGAAGAAAGGCAGTAGAAACGATCGATCTGTGGCATCCACAACGCGATGCTCAAAAAGCCTTTTTACCAAACAGCCCAAACGCCCAAGTTTCAATCGAGTTCAGCAAAAAGAGCAAGGAAGGATCAATCCCGGCCTATTCGCCTTAAAAGATCATCGACTTGACCTCGCCTCTACGCCCGCTCGTCCTCGTCCCACCCACCGTGTGGTGCTTCGGCGTCTTGTCCATCGACGACGGGAGCATCTCACTCCTGCGCTTGTCGGCGTTGCCGGTTGACCTGGTCGTCGAGCGGTCGTACATGCCAGGGCGAGTGGGATCGTACGAGAGGGGACGCGTATGATCAAAGGCGCTAGGACGAGCAGGGTCGAACTTTTGCGGGACAGGCGGGGGCTGCTCCTCCCTATCCTGTGCAGGTGCGGGTACGGATGAGGGTGCTTGTGCGGGTGCCTTGCCCGAGTTCGGCAGTGGAGGTTGAGCCTGAGCCTGCTGAGACTGGAACTGAGCTTGTTGACGGTGGTACGAAGGCACCCGACCAGACGAACGCTCGCCCTTCTCCTTTTGGAAGACCAGCTCCGTCCAAGCCTTCGAGCCTGCACTCGGAGCCTGTTTGCCCACAGTGTCGGAGAGAACCTTCATCCAAGCCTCCTTCTGCTCCGCATTGTCGGCATAGAAATCGATGGTCTCGCCATTGCCGAAGCGAATACGGAAACCTTCTTCCACGAAGGCATATCCCTCGTCCTCCTCGGCGAAGCCTGACTTGCGGCGGTTACCATTCCGAGAAGAGGTTGGCTGAGTCAGTGTTGACCGATCATCAATGAGCTTGGCGGCCTTAGCCAGGTTGATTGTAGCGCGTGGTTGACGCGTCGTCTCATGATAAGCGGTCAGCTTGGTTCCAGAGAGACGGAAGAAGCGGCGACGCCAGTACTGTGGATGTTGTTAGCCTCAAGCTCACACAAACTCCAAAAATTCCAGGACAAAACTTACCGGGCAATCACCACCCTGCTGGCTAAGGTGTCCCTCAAAGATTCTGCTCTTGATCTCCTCTGCCTCCTTCATCTCACGGATGCAAGCGCTCATGCTCTTCGGCATGTCTTCGTCCTTTGCGCCCTTGGGCTTGGGCACATACAGCAGTTGCAGCGTAAGCTTGCCGACCTTGTAAGGCGGCCTTCTCACGACACCACCGCGCTTGCTCTTGACTGAGCTTGCGATGTTGGGGTCGCTCTCCACAGCCCACTCGTTGAAGCAAGGAATGTCGACCACGAAGGGGCGCCCGTAGGCCTGGCGCTCGTGGTTCTTGAGGCATACGTAGGCGCGGGCGAACGAGCCATCAACGGCAACAAGATCGTGCAGCAAGTCCCAGGCCGTGGGGTTGGCATTGGCCCGCTTGGCGGCGGCAGCCGCTTCGCGCTCTTGCTGAGCTTTAAGAGCAGCTGCGCGCTCAATTTCCTCCTGCTGCTTACGCTCCATCTCCCTACGCTTCTTGGGAGAAGTAAGAAGACGGCCGAAGGCGGAGTTCGTCTTCTTGTGGGTGGGCTTGGGAGGAGCCGGAGCAGGTGCAGCAGGCGCGGCCTTCGGCTTTGGTGGGGGCTGCAACTTTGTCTGGAGAGTGAGTTGGAACTCAAGATCGTTCAACACGACGAGCTCAAACTCCTGTCCAATAGGCGAGCTGCGGTTGAGCTCAAGCCAAGCAGTGGTGACACAGTGAAGACCGTTGTCGAGCGTAAGTTGGAACGGAACCCGCTCAGCTGATGCAGTCGTTAGCGCATGATGCAAGCTGAGTTATGTTGGGAGTAGCTCACTCTTCGGCAAAGGTAGGTCAAGGTCCTTGACACCAACAACCTTTACAAACAACCTACCCCTCTCCATGTTCTCCTCATTCTCGTCGATCATGGACATGTCACCCGCGCCAGAAGAAACGTTGCTTTCTTGGCCCGGAAGCGGCGGCGCAGGGCCAGGAGCAGCCTTCGACTGGTTGAACTGACCACTAGAGACGTTCCTAAAACTCTTACGTCTTGTCTTACCATTCCAAGGCTCAGTCGTCCATGTATGGCTGCGATCACGGGTTCCCTTGCTCGAGCTACGATTTCCAGTCTTGGCACCTGGTGGAGGCACCAAGCCACGCTCCGTAGTAACGGGGGCTTCAGTCGTACTGTTGCTCTCCACAGGAGGATCGACCTCGTCACTAAACTTGCGGCTAGTTGCGACGACGACTTTAGTGTTCTGGCGCATAAGATATCCCTTCTGTGGACGCGTGGGCGTATATAAGTTAGCAGGTATGTTGCCATGACTATAAGAGTTTTGACCTGATTGCGCAGTTGCCGAGGCGTTTAAACCCGCGTAATGTGGTGCTGGGGTCAATTCTTGTACCTTTTGCTGCTCGACGACCCGGTCGAATTCGCGGTCAAGGTCGAAGCTCAAGTCTTCACCAATGTCACCAACCGGGAGGTCGATCTTCATCTTGAAGCTTTCGCGGCGCTTTGGCGGGTTGGCCGCTTCGCTATCCGATTTGCTCCTTTCCTCTTCACCTTCCACTCCCTTCACGTTCTCCGCACTATCCTCACCCTCGGTGGAGGTTTCCTCGGAAACGTGGGAGAGCTCAGAGGGTTCCTCGTCTGAATCTTGTTGTTCCATAGACGGATACCCGCCACTAACCTGCCTCCGAGTTTGCGCCATGGTATGGAAATCGACCGGTGTAGCAGAGGCCCGGGTTTTCAGCGTACCACCGGGCGCCTTGATGGTCGCTACGGGCTCGTCGACCTCCTCCTCTGACTCATGCTCCTCAGGTTCAATAGGATGTCTGATGACGGAGTCAGGAGTACCGGGCTCTTCTTCGTCAGACTCATCCTCCTGGGGAGTGGATGCACGTTGAAGGAAGTCTGGATCAGCCTGAAGCTTAGGCACGGAATCCAAAGGAGAAGGACCAGTCCGAGACTTGCCGAGATACGACTGAAGCTGGAGGTGGAAATCATCTTCGTTGGAGAATGAACCAAAGTCGGGCAAAGTGGAAGATACCTTCTGGTGTTCCTTCTTGGGAACGATATCACCTTCGGAAGATGCGATAACCTCTTGAGCCCTAGGAGTCGGTGGACCATCGTCCTCATCGGTGCTGCTGGTCTGGACCTTTTGCTCCTCCGGCTCCGAATGAGGATCAGAGTAGCGACTGGTATCATCGTCCTCGACATCAGACCCGCTGACATCATGACGAATGACAGAAGAAGACCTCTCAAGCCCGCCGCCGTCGCTCAGAATCGGAGACCCCTCGGCGCTGCGGAACTCAGGAATGGATTGCAGATCCGTCTCGCCATCGTCCTGCTCTTCGTTGACTGGAGTATCGGCAACCATGTCATCAAATTGCGAAGACGCCTCGCGAGAAGGAATGGGAACATCGGGATCGTAATCCACCTCAGCCTCGCTATCATCCGCAATTGAAGGTTCCGCGCTGAAGTCGTAATCATCGAAATTCTGGCTTTTGACCTTCTCGAGGATGGACTCTCTGGAGATAAGCGGGAACTTAATATCGTCGTCGTTTCCTTCGCCGCCCTCAGCGGTAGACTCCTCATGCCTTTCAGCATCCTCTACTGCCTCAACATCACCCTTGTCACTCTCGCTGTCTCTTGCAGAATCGTGCTTATCCTCAACAGTGGGCGTTTCTTCACGAGAGCTATCGAGCCCCATAAGCTGGAGCCGATCCTCCAAAGACATGGAGTTGTTGCTCATGTTGAGGATGTCAGATTTCGAGAATGCTGCTGCTCCAGGAGGCGACGGCAACGACCGACGACGCACAGAGGATGCAAACTCTGCAGCGGCAGAAAGGCCGGTGCTAGATCCAGGCCTGCCGTGAGGAGACTCTTGAGGAGGCGGAAGAGGCGGAAGAGGACGCATTTCAGATTCAGAGTTTGACCTGTGTGAGAAGGCCCTTGGGGGCGAAGAACTATCATCGTAATGATCGTCGTACGTGTCAGCGAGCGAACTGTTTGCAGCTTCTTGGTCCATGTGCCGCCAGTCTCCGGGCAGAACAACGGGCGTTTTTTCTGTATCTTCAAGAGAAGCGTCAAAGCTGTCGTCCCTGTCCAAGGACTCGTCCGGATCGAAGCCGTCGTCGTCCTCCTCATCCTCGTCATCGGAGATGAAACTTCCTTCACGCGAAGCCAGAGACGGGTCCGGGGTGATCATCTCGTACTCATTGACAACTGGGGGCTTGGCATCAAAGGTGACGCTCTTCGCATGCCGGCGCAGCGGTCGACTCGGTCCGTCACCGACGTGCTCATCATCCGAGGACAGGACGCCTTCCTCGTCGTTGTAGTGCCCACCTTGGCTGTACCGACCGTTTTTGTTGAGCGAAGATTTTATGGGAGAACCTGGTGCCTTAGCTGGTGAGCTGGACTTGGGCGGCGACATGCTAAGTTTGCTTTGAGGGATATCGCCGGTGCTGTTGCCGCGCGAATGGCCTCTTATCGAGCCGGTGCCACTGCTCAGGAAGCTTCCTTGGTTGCTAAGAGGACGGTTAGACGCGAGTGGACGTTCGACGACCGGTAATGAGTTGGGGTCGTACTTTGTCTTTTGCTCGCGCGCAAATATGCTGCTGTTCTTGACGCGAGAGGCCTTCATGAGGTTCTCGATCGAGTTGCGCTTAGGGGAAAGGATGCGGTCGGCGTCGGTGCCGTTCTCAGAGTCGTGAAGACCCGGGGAGTTTGGGTCGCGAGCCTGCCAGAAACGATGCTTGGAACCACCCGGGCCAAAGGGCGAGGATTCCCCAGGCGACGAAGCCTGGCTGCCGATCGACAGCTAACGGGCATTGTTAGTGACAGGGCGGGGTGGGCGTGGAATGCAGTGGCGTACCTTGGTGAGCTTGTTACCAGAGTTGCGTCGTTGCTCCATCGGGCTGACTTCAGACAACGGCCCGTTGTTGGGCGCAGAGCCGCTCATCTTGGCGGACGAGAGGGGAGGGGAGGTTTGGTTGATGTCGATGGTGAGCGGCTCGATCTGCGGGGAGTTTGATAAGTAGGTGGGTTATTGGATGTGGGGATAGATAGCCATACAGCCTCTTGTGGCATGTCTCCCGGGAAGGAGTATTGGCGAGGGTCAATTGGCCCGAGACACGTAGGAATGCACGCGAGGAATGCAGAAGCGCCGGGCGAGCCACGAGTAAGCGAGGGGAAGCGTGGCGCGACAGGACGTGGGCAGCGAGCGAGTCGCCGTGGCGGGAAAAGAGAGTGTGAGGAGTGATCGCTAGTTTGGGCGAGCGAAGAGGAGTGTTTTGGGAGAGTGACGACGCGACGGTCGCGGAATCGGTGTGGAGGATGGCCTTGATGCGCGGGCGCGCACGGATGGGCTCCGAAACTTGGAAGCGACACACGCTGTTCACCCCGGCAACGCCGCCACCGAATCACTTTACGGTGAGCCTGACTCGTAACTAACGCCCGATCCGGCCGACCCCCCGCTGCCTAAGCTGTCTAAGCCGCGCTGCCACCGCCGCAGGGCCTGCGCTGCGCCCGAGACAACTCATCCCATCAGGCCCGTCGCCCATGAGATGAGTCCGACGTCATCCATTCGCTGTGATGGGAAGGGACGCGTCTGTCACAGAGCCGCGGCCGTTTCGCACAAATAGAATGATGTCCGCGCTAACATCTGCAACCCCGCGCGCGCGTAGCCATGTCTTTTGGTTTGAGGTTTGACCTGCTCAAGGGGTGGACCGTGGCCGAGACTCTGCCGGTCGAGCCACACCTAGGGCTGTGACCTGTGGCTTCTCTAGCCGCCCTCTCGCTTGTCTTTTTTTTTTTCGCGTCTGCGGTCCGAGTCCAACGGCCTCGACCTCACCGCTCTGCCCTTTTCCCTTCCGGCCGTGTCCACAAATCCTTCTTTCAGAATTGCATGGTCCTGTAAATCCTCATTCCACCCCCCGCCGAGGACCACGGTCCTTTCCTTCCACCATGCTTCGCGCCGTCTCCTCTCTCTGTCCCTTTTGCGAGGTTCGCTCCTTGTTTCCAAGGACCGCGCCTTCGCAATGGCAGCAGACGCGGTTGGCCTCGCAGATGCGCTCGCGGACGCCCTCCCGCATGGCTCTGTCGCCCAAGGTCGCGCAATCGGGAAAGCCTGCGCCGCGCCGGCGCGTCGAGGGGCCCTTTGCTGGCTTGAATCGCACAACGGTACCACGCATCCCAGGGAGGCCAATGGAACAATCCGATTCTAGAGGCAGAGATTTCAAAGGGAGGGAGTCCAGAGGGAGATCACCGACGGGCTTCAATGAGAGGCCGCAGTCCGGCTTCCGAGAAAGACCGCAATCTGGCTTCCGCGACAGACCTCAATCTGGCTTCCGGGAGAGGCCGCAGTCCGACTTCAAAGGGAGATCGCAGTCCAGCTTTCAAGAGAGACCGCAAACTGGATTTCGAGAGAGATCTCAATCTGGTTTCCGAGAAAGGTCGCAGTCTGACTTCAAAGGAAGATCGCAGTCCGACTTTCAAGAGCGAGCCCAGTCTGGCGTCCAAATAAGACCGAAAATAAAACCGCGGTCTGGAAAGCCGCAATCCAACTTTGAAGGGAGGCCACAGTCCGGCATCCTAGAGAAACCGCAGTTCGATTCTAGTGGAAGGCCGTACGACTCCGGACGGGGACCACGATCTGGCTTTAAAGAGAGGCCGCAGTCCGATTCCAAAGAGAGAACGCCTTCGAATCTCCAGAAAAGGAATAACAGGTCCGGCAGACCAGAGCGACGGGATTCGGGCGATTACCATGCATTGAAGATGCAGCGGGCATTGCATCCGGTGTCTTACACGCAACGATCATCGATCAAGGAGCGGATCAGGGAAATGGACTCGTTCGACAGCTTTCCGTTGCTGCCGGTTATAAAAGAGTCGATCTCGACCCAGGCACTTCCCGGCCTCGACGATATTTCACCAACACCGGCTCAACGTGTCACTATACCGGCGATGTTGGGCATGGACCAAAAGAAGAGCAAGCACCAAGTTGCTGGAATGCAACAGTTCCTGCTTGCTGCAGAGACTGGTTCTGGAAAGACTCTAGCTTATCTCTTGCCTATTATGGATGCCATCAAGCGCCAAGAGGTGGTGGACCGCGAGAAGGCAGAAAAAAAGAAGGCAAAGGAAGAGGAGGAAAGGAGCAAGCGCATGTTTGAACTCGAGTCCCCACCCCTCGCTGGTGAAGAACATCCCGATGCGGGACGGCCACGGGCGATTATTCTTTTACCGTCTGCAGAGCTCGTCGCCCAAGTCGGCGCTGTGGTAAAGTCTTTCTCGCACACTGTCAAGTTCAAGGCCTCCCTCATCTCTGCTGCTTTTAGCGGAAATGTCATTAGGAATCGACTTTTCGCGCCTAGTGGCGTTGACATTGTCATCGCCACCCCGCACCTTCTCTCCAGCATTGCCGAGAGCGACCCTAACATCCTCAGCCGCGTTACGCACATAGTTGTTGACGAGGCCGACTCTCTCCTCGATCGCTCGTTTTCTCCTCTGACTACCAACATCATTGACAGGGCCTCACCCACATTGAAACAGCTGATACTTTGTTCCGCTACTATCCCCAGGAGTATGGATTCCTATTTGGAGAAGCGCTTTCCGGACATCAAGCGCCTCGTAACACCAAACTTGCATGCCATTCCCAGGCGTGTTCAGCTTGGCGTTGTTGACACATCACAGCCTCCCTACAAGGGCAACAAAGACCTTGCTTGCGCGGACACGATATGGAACATTGGCCGCCAAGCGACAGAATACTACGAAGATGGCCAGGAGACGGTCCCTACGAAGCGCATCATTGTCTTTGTCAATGAGCGCGAAAAGACGATCGAGCTAGCCAACTACCTAGTCTCGAAAGGCGTTGACGCCGTCGCGCTGAACCGCGACACGATTAACGAACGCAGCTCTCACTTGCTCGCGGCCTTCCAAGGCGTTGCCGGTGCAGAAGACAAAGACGGCAAGGCCAAAGCCAAAACCGATGCCCCTGCAGCTGCCCCTGCGTCGGATCCGAACCAGGGTCGCAAGGGCCCTGCGGCCCGTTCGCTAGCCAATACCAAGGTCCTCGTCACGACGGACTTGGGCTCCCGAGGCATCGACACAGTCGCCGTGCGCCATGTCATACTTTACGACGTCCCGCACACGACGATAGACTTCATCCACCGGCTCGGCCGGACCGGGCGCATGGGGCGCAGAGGCCGCGGCATCGTGTTGCTAGGCAAGGGCGATCGGGCCGACGTGGTCAAGGAGGTCAGAGAGGGCATGTTCAAGGGCCAAGCGTTGATTTAAGCTGTAAGTATCGAGATTTTGGCCTGGTGAGTGGCGCTTGTACGAGTACCTATGGTGACGACCATTTCTCCTCCCCCGACTACCGGGGAACTTTTGCTATGCCCATTGACGCCGTGAAGATCTCCCGAAACACAAAATGACGCGATGCCCGGAAGTCACGGAAAAGGGTGACCCCCCACCTTGACAAAGACGCCGTTAGCCTGATCATCCGTGGCTGCGGTGTTACTGTAGTGGGGGAGAAGAAAAAAAAAAGCTCCCAACAGTCTTCAGTGCGCGCCGTAATATTCTTATAAAAAACCGTGGAAGCGTACTTAATAAAGAGCGAGCAACATGACAATACACACACATACACATAGCTACTGTACCTAAAAAAAAAAATAAGGGCGCACGGATGCTCAGATCACGTACATCAACGTCCACACCGATAGATAAATCAAAGCACGCACACGCACCCCCTTCTCTCAAGAGTCTGACCGGCGGCACCGGTGACGGTCTGGGCCTTTTCCGCGTGCACAATAGCGAAAAATAGCCCCCATCCCCTCGTCAGGGAGAGGGAGAAGGGGGGACAAGGGCCGCGTCGCCTGATGCTGATGCTGCTGCTGCTGCTGCCTCCTCACCACGCACCCTGACCACGACCCGACCGACCGACCGACCGCCCGACCGCCTGCCTCGCCTGTCGCCACCGCCAGACCCGCCCCTGCCCGCGATTTGGCCCCGACGCTGAACCCCCTCGCTGCCGTAGGTAGGTAGCTGGTGCACAGCCGCGTGCGCTCACCGGTTCCGCACCGCCCCAGGTCTCCGCCGCCGTCGACGTCCGTTCGCGATGCTCGCTTGCGCCTCACTCTTCTTTGGCCTTCTTCCTCTTCTTCTGCGACCGCTACCGCTACTGCTACCGCCGTTGCCGTTACCGTTGTTGTCGCCCGTTATTGCCGCCGCGCCGCGGTTAATTATTGACGCGAGCGCAGCCACCTGCGCGCTGTATTTGCGTAACGCGCGGCATGCAGGCAAGAGCGAGCAGGGTGGGCGGCGCTACGGGACGGGCAGGGCGGCAGGGCGGCAGGGCGGCAGGGCCCTGGGTGCCTGGGATCTGGTCGCCGCCCTGTGCTGCTCCGCGCCGCGTTGCGTTGCGTTGCGTTACGTCAAGGGCCAGCGGCTGGAGACGGGCAGGCGCAGTCGACGGGTGCGTCGTGCCAGCTGTAGGTCCTGGCAGGAGGAGCGCACGTTAGGCGAGCGGCGGCGCGGGCGCGGCTGGAGTCGGAGTCGGAGTCGGCGACGGGTGCCTGGGTTCTTCTGGCTGCGAGATGGGTGGGCGCGCTTTGCGTGGTGTGTGTGTCTGTGTGTGGCTGACCTGTGAGGTGCCGACGGGTGGCCAGGCCAGGGCAGGCCAGGGCGGATGGACGGGCGGGTGGGCGGGCGGCCGATTGCTTGTCTGTCTTGCTGGGTGTCTGTGTCCCCGGCTTGTGAAGGCGACTTCGACGGCTCCCTGGGTACATATGTCGTCCAGAGCTCGATCGAAGTCGGGCCAAGGCATCAGACGTAGCATCGCATTTGCTCGTCCGGCCGGAGAGCGTACTGTAGCAGGCGAATATGCTGCGTCTCGAGGGAGGCGGGAATTGGCGCGTTTGTCTGCATGGCGGATGCGTGCCTCATCTGTTCTCGCTGGTGTTCCTGTGCCTGTGTGACGCCATTGCCGGCTTGGTGCGCGTGTCTATGTAGTACGTACCGTTCTCGACAGAGGGGATTTCATGGTTAGTGCGACGTTGTGGTGCCGATGCTGCATCTTCCCTTCTCGGTGGCTGGGCTTGTTCGTGTGGGCGGTGCTGGGTTTGCAGAGATAGGAAATGACTGCTATGGAGATAGAGGGAGGGGTTAGGGCCTCTAAGTCCACGAATGCTCATAGACTTGCGAGAAGCGCTTATTTCTGGGATGGCGAAGAGAAGTGACACGAGAATATCAAACCTCCACCACGGCAGCCACTGCAGGTAGCAGGCAAAACCGGCTCCTCCCACGTTCCATGGCTCCGCGTCACTCAGTCCACGCCGTCACAAGCGCTGCAGGCCTCCCAAAACAGCAACCCACGAGGCCGCGCAGGCCGCAACATCGAACGTAGTCGGCAATCCGCGGATGACAGCCGCGACAAAGGCACGGAAGCCGCCTGCCTCGCGCCCGAGGAATCCTCTTGGATTCGGCGGAAATGGCACGACGATGCGATGACAGTGGGTGGTGGGCTCATGCGATGGCGCCACCGGGGGGCAGCGAGGAGCCGACGGTATGCGAGGGCGAGCCGGGGCGCCACTGCGCGTGCGACCAGCCGGCGTTGGGCTTTTCCCAAGCGCGCGATGACGCGTGCGCGGCGGGCAGATGCGGCGAGAGACGGGAGCGGTAGCGGGACGGGCCGGGGATCGAATGAGACGCGGCTCAAGATCGCGTGATGATAGAATGAGGGGTTTCCGGTTGTGACACGAGAGAGGGTGGCACAGGTGGGAAAGGCGGGCGGGGTGGGGGTGCGGGATTCCGAGAGCGGGGGAAAGCGGAGAGCGGAGTTGCGATTCCGTGTCAAACGGGGAAGTGCTACAAGGGAGAACGGTTCCCGACCTCTCAAGAGCATGGGGTGACAAGACTCAAATGTCCCGGCCTGCCCCGGATTCGACTGTCTTGTGGGAGCTACGTCGTCGCTCGCCTTTTGTCTTTGCCGTCCCTCTCTAAAGTACACCAGCGCGTCGCCAACAGGCTGTTCGTGCTCATGCATCGTCCCGCTAGTCCCCAACCGCCTGCCGATCAAGGTTCGTCTGACGGGCAAAGGTCAGTCCACAAAAACTCTCTTACATTTCGTCTCTATGATTATTGAAAGCTTCGACACATATTTCGGACGCTTTTGCATGGCTTAACTGAGTCACCCATGCTTGAAAAAACCAAGGCCTCTATGAATGGACGGATTTCCTACCTATTAACGGTTGATTTTCCTTTACTTTGCGCCAGCAAGCCACCAACTACCAGCTACAGGTCGATCAGCGCCCATGGACCAAGCGACTCGACACGGCTGACTGGTGGCTTCACCCGCCCCTACCGCTGCGGTGAGAGGATACTTGCCAGTTGTGAGGAGGTACCTACGCGTCGCGGCAAATGTCGTGTCTCATCGGCGTGGAGTGAGAAGAGCGGAGTTATGCCCAACGTCCTCCGGGGGTTCCGGACATCAACAAGACTCGGAAAGGACAGTCGCCGGTCCCATTAAAAAACCAGATGAGAAATTGCGCATTCGTCGGCGGCATGCGTGGTAGGGCTGAGCCGCGCGCTGATAAATGTCGGCAGCCGAGAAAAACGTAACTCCGAGGCCCACAAGTCTGTTGCATCTCCCGAGCGCCGTCCCACAGCTGATGTCAACTGCGATAAGTTTAAACAACTTCTTCTTCAGGCACACCGCGCGCAGCGACGTCGGCACGTCGTGGGAGATGAGAACATGTCGTCATGACGGCATCTGACGATACAAGCGTGAGTATGGCTAGTGGTGGTTGGCAGCGGGTGGCAGAGGTTCCATGGCGCCTGTGGTGAGAGCGGCAGGAGAAAGTGCAGTGCTTGGCTG